AAATGACAGTTACTTCTCTTCAAAATTTGATGCGACCGGAAGAGAAGGACTAAGTCCTTTACAGAAAACAATAGCTGCGATGCGGATGCTTGCTTATGGTTGTTCAGCTGATCTTTTGGATGAATATGTTCAAATTGGGGAAACAACTGCAATTGAAAGCCTTACGCATTTTTGTGATGCCGTGATAAGTGTTTTTGAACAAGAATATTTGAGAAAACCAAATAAAAAGGACATTTCATGATTGCTTCAGGATAAGTCCATTTTTGTACTTATTTTTCTTATCAAATTTAAGTGATTTTGGATTGAAAACTAGAAAAACAAGGCATGTTTTATATATTTTGGTTCAAGTTTCGTGAAATCAGGTAAAAATCACGTCCATGATATGTTTGATGAAATTTCGGGTCAATTAAGCACAAAATGCGTCAAATTGAGTGACAAATTATATCATACCGAAAGAAGAAAGCAGAATTTAAAAGTGGTCCAGAAGGGAAAGTTGAAGAGCACAAAATACAGAACAAGACAGACAAAAAACCTCACAGGCGCCCAAATAGGTGCCCAGATTGGCCGCCTACCAGGCCGCCTACCGCTGTTTTTGGAAAGTCAGCATTTTTAGACATTTGACCGGACCGGAGAAAAACCGAAGGCAGCCGACACTGGATGGAAGGCGGCCGCCTTCGTTGACCGCCTGCGGCACAAGGCGACAAACCAACCACCGGCCGGTGGGATTTGACGGCAGGCGTCCAGACAGGAATGGCAGGCGGCCGCCTGCTGGACCGCCTGCGGCGGATGAGGTGACCGGCGTCACGTCCTGTCGGTGACGTGACGGAAGGCGGCCGGGACAGGGCCAGAGGCGGCCGCCTGTTTGGCCGCCTACGAGATTTTTCGTGCTATAAATAGCCCGATTTTTTATGAACTCAAACACACCTCTTCCAACACTAATTCAGTTCAAAAAGTTCCAGTTCTTGAGTCATTTCCGCAGCTCCAAGGTCTTTTGGGAGAGAGAAACTTCAAATCTTCATATCTTCTTCATTTTAGCTTCAAATTGTAAGTTCTTTATATGTATTTTCATCTTCTCAACGAGTAGAATCTGAATTTGTGCTTGGTTTTCTCGATCTGTTCTTCGAATTTTTCCAGAATATTTATCTAATATTTCACATTTTCTTCCATAAATTAAATAAAATAGTTGTTGATGTTGAATTCATTCCAATTAATTATATAGTTGTTCACTAGCCTCAAGGTTGTTATTTATCTGAAGAAACTTAATTTTCACGAAGTACAAGTAATTTTTAATTAATTTCGGTAATTAGTTGTTATTATTGCATAAATTAAATTAATTACAAAAAAATAGAAAAAAAATAGTCTCGGCCCTAATTCAATTTTATTTCACTGTAATATCACCCCAGTAGTCAATAGAAAATTTAGAACGAATTTAGCCTATTTTTAATTTCCTTTTGTATTTTATAGTTAAAAGTGGGAAAATTATCAATTAATTGTTAAAATTGGATTTTTGGTTTGCAAATTCGTGAAAAAAATTCCAGAAAGTCATATTGTAGTTCCAGAAAGTTTATTTTGACAATATCTTATTTTTGTTTAATTTTTGCTATTATACATGTTTAATTCCTTGTTAATGTTTAATTTATTTACCATATTGTTGAATGCAAAAATAATGTTTAGTAGCTAAATTTGTTTTGGGCATGAATTGAGTAAAGGAATATGGATTGACTTGTTAGCCAAAAATTAGGGGTTAAAATTAATTAATTGAGCTAGTTATTCAATTTGATGAATTAGTAATTAATAATTGTTAGCCAATTTCATTAATTAAATTTTGGAAAATTATTTCTAACTTGTCTATGAGATTAGAAAGTAATTTGAGCCAACTTTATTCAAGCACATTAATAAGGCCTAGAAATAGGATAATTTTAATGAAATGGATTTACATCTTGTCTATGAGAAATAAATTCAAATTGCTTAAATAATGAATTTAATTAGTTAATGAATTTGGCTATTTTTATTAATAAACATTTTGGAGAATTATTTCTGCTTTGTCTATGAGATTAGAATTTAATTCAACCCAACCATTTTTGAATACATTAATGAAACCTAGAAATAGGATAAATTAATGAAAGTAATTTCTATTCTTGTCTATGAGAAAAGAAATTATTAGTCCAATTTTAGTTTTAAATTCCCCTAATTACTAGGTCCAAGAATATATCCATTTCCAATTACTCAATTCATTGCCCTACTTGCCTCAATCTTTTCATTAATCTTTAGAATATTTGATCTTAAATCTTTAGTTGAAATTTGCTCCTAGTATAATTGTGCAATTTGGCCTAGTCTAGAACACAATCACCTTTTTGTATTGAAAAAGCTTCCAACAATTAGCGATAGCCCGTGCCTAAGACTAAATTAAGAAAACTCCTCTGTCATTCCTCAAGAGACACGATACTCGGGGAAAAACCGAAAGGTTAAACTCCGTTTTACTACAACGCCGCGTAAGCGGTTATCACTTCAAGAAGCGAAAGAACGAGGTTTTCCTGGTATGTTAGGGAGTCTTGATTGTATGCACTGGCATTGGAAGAATTGTCCAACCGCTTGGCATGGTACACATACAAATGGTTTTAAACGAGTCCCGACTCTCATATTAGAGATTGTAGCTTCAAAGAATTTGTGGATTTGGCATGCATTCTTTGGTATGGCTGGTACGAATAATGACATAACGGTATTAGATAGATCTCCACTATTTGATGATATTATTAATGGTGTTACACCACCATGTCACTATGTAGTGCAAGGGCATCAATATGATATGGGGTATTATTTGACTGATGGAATTTACCCACAATATGCTACGTTGATGCAGTCTATCTCTCAGCCTTCTTCTCTTAAAGAGAAAATATTTTCTCAACGCCAAGAAGCTACAAGGAAGGATGTGGAGCGTGCTTTTGGAGTTTTGCAAAGTAGATGGCATATTGTTAAAGGTCCCGAGCGTATGTGGAAGGAAAAAGACTTGGAGAAGATAATGAAAACTTGTATCATCTTGCATAATATGATCATTGAGAGTGAAAGTAGTCAAGGAGTGAATCCTGAAAATTGGCAACCTCTTGGAGATGAAAGGGTTGAAAATGTGGAATTAGAGCGTGATTATAATTTTATTCTCTAGAATGATCGGAAGAATGAAACAAGTTCAAGACAAGAGAGTTCATAGAGACTTGAAAAATGATCTCATCAATCATATATGGGAGCTATATGGTGGTCAACAAGCAAGCTGATATTAAAGTAGATCTTTTAATGAGAAAGTCTTATAATAGTCATTGAAGTTTATTTTTATTTCGATGAATGATGTTCTACTCTTAATCATTATTCTCAAAATTGTGTCAAATTTTTTAGAATTATTTATTTTTTTCGATTGATTATTTACAATAAGTTAGTTCTAGTTGTAGTGTTTTTTAATTTATTATTTCAAAGGCTATAGAATCAAATTGGCCTTCGAACTAACTTAAAAAGTGCAAATCACCCCTTATATAGGAGGCTCTGTCCGACCATCGCCATTTGGGGCGGTTCCCGGTGGAATCTTTTGATGAATTTTTTTGAGCATCTTCTTCGTTAAGTCTAGTTTACGCATACCCAATTTAAGCTAAAAATTCAATCGGGAAGGGAGTTAAATGAATTTTTGAAGATAACTGTGCAGTTAAACAGCGCAGTACATTTCAGAAAATCATGTATCTTAAACATGGTATGAGTAAACTAGAATTGATAAAGAAGATGCTCAAATAATTTCATCAAAAAAATCCACCGGGAACCGCCCCAAATGGCAAAGGCCGTACAGAGCCTACTATATAAGGGGTGTTTTGCAGTTTTTAAGTTTGTTCAAGGGCCTATTTGACCCTTTAGTCTATTTCAAATTAATCATTACTTAGATTTCTGATAAATCTTAGTGGGGTTGTTGTGTTCTTCAAGGGTAATTCTTATATTCTATTCTTAAACTTCAGCTCTTAAGGGTAATTCATTGGCTTTTTTATATTACCATTTTAGTTAGTTGTATTTGTATTGTTTTTTAATTAATTATTTTGAATTGTTGATTATTTAGATTTCTGCTAAGTCTTACTCAGGCTGAAAAAAATAATGTTTATACTTTATAGTAAGTTATGGGCTACAAATCAAGGCGTGTTGTATTAGAAGGTCATTTACATCTAAACTCCAATCTTGAATAGTTAAATTTTAAATAACCTTGAGTTTGTGATAAATCCAAAAATGTCAAAATGCAAATATTTTAAGAGCATTACTCTTGGGAGTGTTTGGTTAAATGCATGTTTTGTCCTTAATATTTTTAGTTTTAAGTGAAACAACCATGTCCATATGTTTGGAAAATCCCTTCAAGCAGTAAGATAGATGGCTCAGCAGCAGTTAACTTCTCTTTTCTTTCACCCAGCCTACAAAATTAACTCCAAAAACTAGGTAGCTAGTAGGGACTAAAAACTCATAGTATAAACAGAGTTATCTCTGTCCAACTCCCATCAACCTTAGAGAAGTATACTATTTATGTCTAATAATCCATAAATCAAAAGGTTTTCTACCAAATAAAAAAGTGGCAGCAGCTCATTTATATCTATATGTGAGAACTTGACTGCAAGTAAAATTTTTGTTCCATAATTAACTTCATTTGTGATTGCACTTGTTTTTTCTTTATCTGTTGCATAGCTCTATTTGCTCTCTTTGAGTAGTGGTCTGGCCATTTTTACCAGTCTCAACATGTTGCACTGAAGCAACTCAACAAGTCAGAAAGTTTGGAAAAACGTTTCAAGTACCAAACCAATAACACCAAGCAAGTAACAGGCTGCAAAGTGTTTGGTGTTATTAATATCTATATCTGCACAAAAAGAACGTGGCTTTAAAAAGTTGGGATAAGAAAAAGCAAGATAAGCAATATGACTCCACCCCCCACCCCGGAAAAGGAAGAACAGAAACACCCCAAGAAAGCTAAGGGAAGGTGTGCATACTTTCCAACCAACAATAATGCATTTAGTATTATGTTGTTTTCAGAATTCTGACAAATTGTTCACATTTAGATCAATTTGGATGCTCTAACCCGCTATAAACATTGCATACTAAAGTTGCAGCAGCTCATTTTATCCCCATTTAGGTGGAATACTAAGAATAAAACATAATGAAAGAATAAGTGGACACAATCAATATAAACTAGAAAAAGTCTACTATCTCATGTCTATTACTCCACAGACCTAAAGTTTATCCAAACAATAAAAACAATTGTTCCAAACTACCAAAGCAAAAACAAATTCATAAAAAATAAATAACTAGTCTTCACACATAATGTTTCTAGTGTTCCAGCAAGTATTACTATTTAGCTTCCTCAAGTTTTGAGCTTCTTTAACTGTAATTCCCACCTGCCACACAATAAAAGTACAATCAGTTTTTAAGTAATTTATTTTTCATAACTATTATTAGTAAAAGTAAATGCAGAAAATGGTACAAAAAAATTCAATTACCAAAAAGACCATCCTTTTCTCATTCCTTTAAAATTTGAGCTTGATACATCTCAAATGTCTCTCTAATGCTTACGGGAAGTTTGGTGACATCTTGATTCAAAATACGCTCTTGTTCTTGTCTCTCTTGAGCGTTCTCCCTAAACTTTTGAGCAACCTCTTTTAACTGTTGATCCTTCTCCTTCGATCTTTGAGCATATTCTTTTAGCTTCAACTCTCTTTCCATTATCTTTTCTCGTAACTCAAAGTCTTTTAAGTCCTTTTTCCCCTTCATTTTGAGCTCTTCTTGACTAATACAAATCTGTTTTTCCATTGTAGTTTGTAACTTATTGAAAGCATCAACTACTAATTTTTCATCATTCAACCTCCTCTTTTTTTCTTTAGTAGCCTTTCTTCCTTCAGGGCGTTCAATATCATTGCATTTACCATCATCATTAACATCTACATTGGTACACTTTTCACCTTCATTTCCTGAACTCCCTGGTTGGGTTGTTACTCGGGTATCACCACTTCCATTGGCAGCTTTTTGCTTAGAGTTATCTTTGCTCCTAGTGACCTCCTTTACGCACCATTTTGAATTTGTTTTCAAGATCTCTCAACAATACTCATACTTGAAAGACTGACCATTATTAATATCTTCATACATGCGCATTGCCTCTCGCCTCTACAAATAAAAAATCAACTCTTGAGCATAGATAAACACGTTAAACAGCTCAAACATCACATGTGAAACAAGGCAGATTGTGATTTGTAAAAGGAAGTGAGAATAAAAATATAACAATGTACAGAAAGCAATAGAAAGAAAAATTACCATATCGTCATGGCTTGCTCCACTTTTTGGATGTCTTTGTAGTCGTTCATATAAAGCATGAAATTTATTCACTGCAGCTACGATCTTACCCCAACGAGCTTGTAAGCCATTTGTTGTGCGAGACTCATCATAAGTACCCATATTCTCCCTCCAAACTTGGAAGATGGGATTCCACATATTAGCAATCATTTGATTGTTCCCGACATCAGCATCAACGGAAATATATAGTCATGCCTTCGTTAGTGCTACATCTTCGTCTTTGCTCCAGTTTTTACTCCCTCCTCCCGTGGGAGAGATACTAGTATTTTCTATGACCTTGTTACTTTTTTTTGCTGCTTTGGTCGTTTTAGTAACATCACTCTCCAATGGAATATTAGAAGAGTTTGAAAGATCATGAAAAGCAAATCCATACCCAAAGGGTGAGTGAGTAGGAACAAATGCAGGATTCATCATAAAATTAGGACTGAAAGCTATGTTTGATGGACCGAACTGGTTAGATGCAAACATTGACGATTGTGTGTTAATCTGTGATGCACTTCCAGGCTGAGAAGTGAGATCATTTACTTCAGTGTTTTTCTGAAGATGTTCATGGTATGCAAATGGCTACGATGTTGACTCCATCTATGTATAAATCATTATTTCAATAAGATTAATAACCTGGTTATTTCAAGTTAGAAACTGTAAAGTGGCACTGTAATTGACACATAATGCATATTCAAATCATTCATTCAATGATGCTAAAAAATTGATTAATAGATGTACTTTTCTTCTATCACACTCTGGATATGACTATGAAATACAAAGGCCTGGTAATTATTTCCCTAATTCTTTGTAGTTGTGTGTTATAATAACTCTCTGTTATAATATTATTCGTTAATTAACTTGGTTTTCTCTTATTATTTTAGGCAGTTGAAGGAATGGACAATTATGGTGTCATTACATGAAAAAAAGGTCTAGGATAACTTCAGCAACATGAAATCTATCAATAATTAAAGTCACACTGAATGGCTGATGACCAAAATGGGTTGTGTCACCCATAAGGGCTTAAATCTTAGTGTATACCCCAAATACACTGTATGGGCACGATGCTTAAACCAATACACATGAAAGTAGAATGCATGACACACAAATAACTTAGAATACATATGGTAAAACTCATTTGGCTGACATGCCTGAATCTTTTCAAGAAAACACGTTTGTTAAAGTAGATTTAAACCAGATAAGTGAGTCAAATAAGACAGTTAATGCTATCAAACAAGGGCATCATCATCATTGATAAGCCAAGGGTTTGATACTACAAGCGATTGGAGATTACTTGTTGAATTTTGCATGAGATTAACCAATTTGTTAGACTCGTCATACTGAAAAGTCCAAAGCCTGTGATTTTAAGCCGCCAGACTGAATTATAAGAAAACATGTTTGGTAAAAACTATTTCAGCCACAAGTTGAAATAACCCGACCAGTGCAACCAAATAAGGCCTTAATCATCATAGATAAGGCAGGATTTGATTCCCCAAGCAGTCTAATTACTTGTCCAGTTCTGTATACATTAGCCTATATTACAATAAGTATTCAATTTGATTAACTATTTCTATTTGCAGTAGTGCAGAGCCAAAGAAGCTTGGTTGTGTTGAGGCTAATTCGCATGAAAATATTTTGGGCTTTCAACATCAGTTTGTCAGAAACTAATGGCACTACATGAATAAAAATCATAAGGTCTGGTTCAGAAAAGAACCAGATTTTCAAAATAGAAATAAAATATTCATCTCCTATCAAAAAAAGAGGATCCAGGAAAAGACCAAAAAAAGGGTTGCAGCATACGTTGAACAAGAGTCCGGGTCGGCAATTTACCAATTGGTCGGAGAAGAGTTAAAAAAATACCTGGAAGCTTTCAGACTAACGCAGGTGAGAATAGCCGATGCGAACCACGTGCGAAGAGACGATGACGATGAGAAAACCAGATGTGAAAACCAAGTGCAAAGAAGAAACGATGGAAAAGGAGTTTAACGACCCTTTTTGGAGCATGCGATTTTGAGTTTGGCGGAAATATTTTCAATTGCCGCCAAGAACTTCCAGGACAATCGAATTTTTGGCTGAGTCAGAGTGTGGAAAAGCCTTGCTGAAAGTAGAAGGTGAAGTAGAGGGCGTGCGTTTTTTTCGTTCCAAGTCAGCAACGCAGGGTTTATACACATTTGCGTTGGAGTAAGTAAATTTACCACAAAGTGTATTTATCTGATGTGGCAATTCATTTTTTAGCAACCAATTTTCTCATTGTGGATGCTCTAAGATTACGTACATTCGACCCTCCTTACCTCACCGTAGGTGGGAGCCTTTGTGGCACTGGGGTAATGGTGATGAATGAATGAATGACATGATAAACGTCAATATTACTAAAAAGGAGACCATACTAGTCAAGTACATACAAGTTCAAAGATTTAATCAAAGATTTTAATAACTACATCTCACTTAGTTTATGTTTTTCCATCATTTCCAATGGAGTCAAAGACTTACTATTTTTTGGCTTGAGAATATGATGGAATAAAATAAAATGGCTCAATATATGTCTATGCTTGTTTGTTATGAAACAACAATCAACAATGCAATTTTCTACGCAATTTTCATCATGGGTCATTCAGAAACAGTCTCTCTCTACTTTAGTACGGGGTAAGACTGCGTACATCTAACCCCCTACCCCACCGTTGGTTGGAGCCTTTGCGGCACCAGGGTAATGTTGTTGTTGTTGTATGTCACTCGGTTTATGTCAGGCCTTGCCTGGCTTGTCACAGTTTTATGCTTGCATCGAGACAAGCTGAAATAGCTCAGACTTTGGATAAGTCTAAGGTTCCCCTGCAATATCAAAATAGTTGGACGAATCCAAAAAAATATAAACAAAAATTTCCTAATGAAGACAAACCTCATTGCATTTCAATGTTAGATAATAGAAAAATTGCATAATAGTAATCCTTAAACACAGGCCTTGCATAATGAGCTCATAAACGATCTAATTAGAACTTAAACATTGACATATACTACATATAAACAACACAGGATAGGGTCATAGGCTCCGAACATAAAACATTGACAATATAATTTAAAAGTAAGAGTTAAGTTCGATCGTAAAACTTGACAATCTAATAGAAACTAAAATGTGACTTGGACCATAAAGCTCATAGCTATCCTAAGGGGGGTTTCCAATCTAAATATAAAAATAAATAAATTCTACTTTCCTAATCGCTAGATAGAACCATAGCAAGACAAATGCTTTAATTATCCTCTAAACAGATTTTGAGAACACGACTACAAAACTCAGTTGCAATCAAGTTAATGATAGTCACAAGGCTAAAAGAGATGACATGATTATGGCATTATGCACTCAACTCCAAAAGATCTACAAAACCTTAAATCGAAAGGAGAAAAATAAACTCCAAAATTTGAAAGCCCAAGTTTCTTAGAGTAATCGAAAAAACAAAAGAAGATCTAGTCCAGACCCAGGTGACCTTATTGAAAACCGTAATGTTCTGCTAAAACCAGAAGCTGAAATCTCAAACCATACATGAAACCCATGTTGATTAAAAAGTAGTGCCTAATTTAAAAAGAAACCACTATCTAATATAATTGAAAAAATGCCACAAATTGAAAGCCAAAACTGCATACCAAGAATGAAACCGAAAAAAAAGGAAAAAATCATATATAATACCTGGTTGTGTGTTGATGTAGTTTATATGTTGCTTGCTTGTAGATGGTGGATAATTAATGAAGGTCTGATCTAGGGCGTATTTGTTAATCCATTTTAACCCAATGATCCACATTGAAAATGTCCAGACATATGAGCAAAGCATAGTAGGCTGTACCCACAAAACTGCAGCATCAAGACTACTATACAAAATAAAAACAAAAGTGAAAGAAGAAGCAGAAGAATAGTAGATTTGTAGGAGAGCAGAGCATCAGACTTGCAAAGACAGGAATTGAAAAATTGTAGGAGAAGTGAAGAACCTGAATCAAACAGCAGACAAATAGAACCAGATTCCTGAGCACAAGGGTTAGCTTTCTACAAAAACAAAAAATTATGTGTCAATATTAAATCTTTAAAGTCCAAGTACATCAGACAAGCATTGCAAGCGCGTGCAATGTACAAAGTTGAAGCAAAGAGGACATTTCACATCACATGTTTTGTCCATTGGTTATAACTACGTTGTGAACCGTAAAGATCCTACCATTTCTATTTGTTGACATGGCTTGCCAACTGATCTAGCATAGTCTATAGACTCTAAATCTGTCAAAAAACACAGAGAAATAAAACTTACCAACACCGTCACCAATGTTGCGGCAGAGCATATGGCGAACAAGTGACTGAAGTCTGAGAATCAAGCTGAACATGTCTGACGCTTGTGAAGACTCTTTTGGATCTTTATCAGTAACGCATCACATGGAACACATATTTCTTTTGATTGTTGCTCAGCAAACTTTGGAAGAAGCTCTGCCAAATTGAGATCTTCAGACGTGTCACAAATACATCTTAAAATAGTTGAAGTGATTTTAGAGTCTAAAACAATTCCTTTAGCAGCCATTTGGTGAAGCATATGAATAATTTCATCTGGTTCGCCTTTAAGACTAAATCCCTTGAGTAAAGAATCATATACATGGATGCCGGGTGTGAGGCCAGATGCAACCATTTTGTCAAACAATTTCTTAGCCACCTCAATCTGTCCTAGGTTTGAAAACCTACTTATTAGTATAGAAAAGGTGAAAGCATCGGGGTTCAAACCCCTTTGAAGCATTTGGGTTAGTAGTTCTTCAGCAAGCTGCCAATTTCCTGATTCCAAAGCCGCATCAATGATGATATTGTACGAGACAGAATCAGGTTTACACTTCCCATCACTTATCATCTCCTGAATCAACCTCCTTGCTTGTTCAAAGCTGCTTTCCTTGCACAAAGCTGCCATGACTGAGTTATAATCAAACACTGTGCGGTTCTTCAGGGTTAGAAAAATCCCCTTTGCAATGTTTAGCATTTTTAACTTACAAAATCCATCAATTAAGGAACTGAAGGAAAGTGAGTCTGGAATAAAACCAAGTTTGGTCATCTGCTTCCATTTACACAGAGCTTGCTCAACATTATGTTCCTCCTTTAGATAAGCTCCAATGAGAACAGTGAAAGTTCGCACATCAACAAGTTTTTTGTTATCAACCGCCATCTTACTATGAACCTCCGTAGCTTCATCAATGCGTTTTTCTTGACACAGTGCTTGAACCAAAACAATAACTGTTCTAACATCTGGTTCAGTATAAATCTTCTTGTCTGTCAACATTGAGTTAAACAGTGACATGGCATGATCTACCTTCCCATTGTAACAAAACCCCTGCAGGATGGTATTGTAGGTCACCACATCTGGTTTCTCACCCTTCTCTATCATTAGTTGTAAGATATTATACGCTTCGGTTAATAATCCCTTATCAAAAAGCCCACGAAGCAGAACATTGTAAGTTATACTTCCAGGCACTACACCCTTTCCAAGCATCGAATTAAACACCTTCAATGCTTTGTCTGCCCTTCCGCCTGTGCAAAGCCCATTTATTATGCTGGTGAATGTGACAATATCAGGCTTGACTCCACGCTCCAACATAGAATTGAACATCATCATGGTTTCTTTCAGCTGGCCCTTCTTACAAAAGCCATTTATCAAAGACGTATATGTTACTACATTCGGAGATACCCCTTGCACTAGCATTTCATCAAACACCTCCTTGCCTTTGTTCACATTACCTTTACTGCAAAGTCCATTTATAAGTATGGTATAGGTAAACACATCAGGTTCCAAACCCTTGATCTTCATCTCATCCAGCAATCCCATTGCTTCATCCACCTCCCTGTCTTCCTTGAAAAGCCCATCCATCAGTATAGTATATGTGAGCACATTGGGAGTAAGGTTTGCATTTTCCATACCAACCCTCAAGTTCAAAGCCTCCTGCAATTTGTTCACCTTGCAAAGCCCTTTAATGAGGGTGTTATAGCTAACTCTGTCAGGGGATACCATTTTCCCACACAATCCAAGGAAAAGTTCCACCCCCTTGTGAACCATCCCATTTTCACAGAAGCCTTTCAACAACATATTAAAGAGGTACACATTGATCACAAAACCTCGCTTAAAAATCAACCCAAACACAGAAAAGGCCAAATCGGGCATGTGAGTGTGCACAAAAATCTCAACCAAGGCGGCTAGAGTTAAAAAACTATGCGTAAAATGAGCAGAACCAAGGGTGTGGGTAATTTTACCATATGTATCAAATGCAAGTCCATATGCCTTGTTCTTTACCAGAGTTTCAACAAGAAAATTGCATGTAGACGCATGGGGACATTGTCTCAAATCAAAAACTGCATGCTCAAAGAGGCGCACAGCCTCAACTAACGCGGATGAACTAGGGCAATGCTTTGCGCATAGATGTGATCTCAACTGAGAATCCAATTTTTGGGAGCACAGATCACTGGTGTCTGAAGATGAATCAGAGGAGCAGGAAATGTGTTTGCTCGCAACCAATGAGGTTGTCAGACGAGACAAAAAATGGCGGCGGTGTAGCGGTTTCCGAATTATATCCATAGCTCTCAAGTCTCAAAGAAGTCGAAAACTCGGAAGTTATTCGCACCACAAACCTTACTGGGCGCGCCCAACTTTTTTCGGAGAGGCACAATTTTAGAGAAATAATTTACCTTACTGGACAGTTATATTTCCTATTATACTGCCACACGTCATGCATAATAATAGACGGTATCTTTCCTTTTTTCCTTTTTTGCCCATACCAACTTATAGTTTTATCATTTTCACATGACTAGTCATATATTGGGAATCTTCTCATGTTTTGGTCATATGCACGTAAATTTCCCACAATTTTATCCTTTTCTCGATTGTTTATTTCTTTTAGTTATGGACAAATATGTATACGGGTAGATTTCTCCCTTGAAATTTGTTGGGGTCATATAATAATGTCATGTTTCTGTATATTTTATAACTATTCAAGTAAAAACATCTTTTGTAACTTTTGTTTCCATATTTTATTAATTTGTTGTCTAACTATTTGTATTAGTTAATTATTTGTTAGTAAAATACAATTGACACCATTTGATTTTATTTTTGAAGAGGGGGACTTACATTGATATCACACTATTAGCATTCAGAAAGGACTTGAAACAATATAATGACCACAGACAACCATCAACCCTAAAACTAAACTTAGAGTTAATCACTTTCAAAAAAGCAATATAACTCTCTGATCCTAAAATGGATTAACACGAGCCAAAAACGGTTGAAGTAGACCTTCAATCACGTAATCCTAATGCAAGAGTTTTACAATGATAAATCAAGTAAACGGACAGATTAAATAAAATAACAACTAAAACAGCAGTAATTGAAATATCCGGCCTTCTCCATCTTAAAACAACTAAACAGTGCGTGAAATAACATGCTCCAATGGGAATCTATATTTTCAGAAGGTCATTCCCATTGTCTGACACATCAAAGGGCCCCTGTTTACTCGCAATCACATGGGAGGCAGACGACGTCCGGTCGCAAGAGACCCCGTCGTCGATGAATACCCGACGTCGGAGGTGAGGCTGTCCTCGTCTGGTAGTTGTCGCAAACCTAGCTGCCATCTCGCGTGGTCAGTATAGTCTCGTCGTGTGGTCGTTCTGTAGACTTTTCGCGCAGTGAAATTCACAGTAAAGAACCAAACTGAAATAAATGTTGAGAGCCATCTATCTGAGCATCGAGTTGTACGGGTATATCTGCCGTCGTTGCTGTTGAATCTGGTACCATCCGTCTGCCTTGTCTCTACTACATCTCTTTTTTACAATGGGGTTTTTTAGAAGAGGAGTACGGTGCAGTGGGAGCGGCCCACTCTCAACATCCTACTCCAGCGCCTAAATCACGTAGTATCCATTTAAAAAAACGCGCGCGCACGCGAGCCAACTGCAACTCCCTCTCTTTCTTCCACATTTTCCCTCCATACTTTTCTCTCGACTGCCACTACTTTGGTCTTTACGAATTCCGAAAAACCGTTCCCCAACATATTTTCTTCTGTGAAATCGTTCTCTCAACTCTTCTGAAGAAAATTTTATGAACCATCTCTGCGAACCAACACTTGCGGAGTTACATTCTGTGCGAACAAAAATCAAAAACTAAGTAAGGCATTAACACCATCCAAAGCAAATTTCTGCAGATACGAGCCTGACTCGAGATGGCTAGGGTTAAAAGCAAATCAGTTGTCAGGTATCAAACTATAACACCAAATCGACGATTAAACAATGTGACTGATTTTTTATTATCAAAATATGTTTATTTTGGTGTTAAATATTTTATTGTTATATAAATATCGAAATGCATGTAACTTTGAATGTATGAATAATGTAATCTTAGTTTCATATTGTGCATCTGCGAAATCTGACAATATTTTAAACGTTCTGTGAAGCGGTTTTCCTATATGCATTACACAATATGAAATATGTAAAATCTATGTTATTAGTTGTAACTTCATGCGGCTTTGGTAATATATGTAAAATATATGTTATCGGTTGTTATCAATATGTAAAATGTATGTTATGAGGAGTAATATGTTAGGGAAAATAGTGTTGAAAATAAATTGCTTGTGAAAGATGTAACTTCAGTAAGTGCCTGCAAATAATTAGAGTCAAATTGCTTGTGAAAGATGTAACTTCACTATATAATTATGTAACTTGTGTATAATCTATCTATCTTTTTTTTTGGATGAAATGTAAATTTATATTAACACCCAAAGAAAACTATACATCAAAAGTTCTAGATCTCATAAACCCCCACCCCCTAGTGTAGGGGTTAGGAGAAGTTTTTGTTCGATCTAATCAAAATCAAAAAAGGGGGGCATAAGTATACAATACTAAATGCCCCAAAAGCTCAAAAACCAGTCAGTGCTACAAGGTGTACGCACACAGATCACAAACATACATCAATCAGACGAAAATGCATGGCCAAGAGGAGGTTATAATGCACACTCCCCTTAGCCCAAAAAAAAGTCAGGTGTTGCAAGGTGCACACACCCAAGTCCAAGAAGGATGATGTCGCGGCTTCAAAAAAGGAGACATCATCCACCCATCAAAATTTTATCATGTCATGCGGGTATATGCTATATAGGATCTTATACACCACATGCTTGATCTTAGCAATCACATTTTCTTCCATCCTCGTTCCTCCATCAAATCGTATCTCATTTCTCGCATGCCAAATGTAGTAGACCGCGGCACAGAATGCTAGACGGGCAACCTTGGCCTTCATCCCTTGTGTGTCTTCATGATCCACTTGATTGTGTTGAGCATCATTGTCATTTGGTGACCAATTCCAATCCAAGCATTGATCTCATCCCATACCCTACAAGAAAATGGGCAAAGGAAGAAAAGGTGTGGAATTGTTTCCAATTCACCCATGCATAAGTCACACCTATTAACTATGTGGAGATAACTGAGGCTATCTTGTGTGGGCAGCCGGTTCCTCAAGCCCAACCAAACATTAAATGAGAATTTTGGGGGGATGTAGGACTTCCAAATGAAGCTCATTGGAGTCCTAGTGATCCCCTTTACTCGTAGAAGCTCATAGATTTTGGTCGATACTAGTTTCCCATTGATACTCCTAGCATTAAGGCACATGATGGTTTCATTTAGATTATTAAAGCAACCTCGTATTTTGTCTCGTATTTGACTCAACCTCTTCATAAGTTGTGAGTCACGACCGTGTGGGACAAATTCCCACACACTTTTACCCTCAAGGTATACGCCATTAACCCAATGAACCCAAAGGGTATCATTTTTTTTATTTGTGACTCTTTTTTTTGGAAACAAACGATTTTATTCATAAAATAAAAATACAGTGCAAGAAGATAAATAAAAAAAAGTACATAAACGTATAAGGAAAAGTGAATAAAGAAAACTAAGCCCAAGGGAAATCTATGGACTGTGATCTGATCCGCATGCTATGACGCCTTTTATTTTTTTGAGATTTCATGTAGATTTTAAGTTGTGTGTACCCAAAGGGTATCTTTCTTTTTGTGTACGTCCCAAAGAGTGCGAGAAAGGAGGCTATCGTTCCAAGTACGGGCATTGTGAATGCCTAGACCCCCTTCCTCTTTTGAAAGACATATGTCATCCCAAGCCACCTTCACAAACTTTCCACCCCACAAAAACAGTCTACAGATGGACACTATCCTATCCAATATAGTTTACTGAACCGGGAAGATTTGGAGCCAAAACGATTGGACCCCTTGAATCACCGATCGAATTAGCTCAATCTTTCCGGCATAGGATAGTGTTTTCGTGTTCCACGCATTTAGGAAATCCTTGACCATGTCGAGTAGGGGTGCGTATTGTGCAACCGATATCTTTAGCGGGGCAAGTGGTATTCCAAGGTATGTTACCGGGAATATTCCTTGCCCATAGTCGACAATGTTTTGTAAGTCTATGTCCTTCACCCCTCCCACGAAAATCTATCTCTCTTCTTTATATAAAAAGAGGTGGAATTGAGACCATTTTTCCCGTTGAAAGGTTTGTCAGAGTTCGTTATTTAATGCTATTTAATTCTATATATCTAAAAAATTAGACGGAGCAAATGTATGTATTCTTTAATTATTTCTTGATTCTTGGCAAAGCATCTTGCCATGACGATGGTGACCAGTGCCTCGGCAACATGTTTTCCAATATATCTTGGGGACGGCGAACCTGGATCGGAGCTTTCCTTTTCAGCCAACAAAAATGACGCCCGGCTGGGGAAAATCGAACGGATCGGAGAAGCGGGAGAGCCGGAGCTACGCCAGTCCGCCGAGTAGCTGATTCGCTGATCTAAGCTTTGTACGGAGTAATTTTTATTATTTTAGTTTTAGTATTTTAATAATATGTTGAATTGAATGATCTCTTCTTTTATGGCTGAAGCCTGTCTTGCTTTTGTGTTATCATTTGTAAATTGAAATTTCTTACTCCCTACTACCTAACATATTAATGTGATTCAATTGAAAATTTGAAATATGTATGCCTACAAACACTTAATTCTGAAAAAAGTAAAAACAACATTCATTTTACTTCTAAACAGTAAAACCAACATTGGTTATGCAAGTAATAAACAAAATAAAAAAGAATTTATAACCGTAATATTTCAGTTATTCAACAGGAATTTGTTTTCATGTCATGGGTACGGTTAAGGGTTGTTTGTAAGCTTTAAATTGTACGAATTTATCATTGTGGGTTGAAATTGATAAAATTATGAGTGAATGTGTTAAGGGTTATTTGTAAGCTTTGAATTGTACGAATATATCAATGCAGTGCTTATATGGTACATCCGGACCAACCAAGGTAGACAGCTCAATAACCAATACAGACCAAAAATAATTCGGTGGCATTTTTGTAATTTAAGCGCAAAATTACGGCTTCCATTAAATGAGCAATAATGTACTTTTAATGAGCATCAGACATATTGTATTGAGTATTTAAGAGACTAACAATGATATCACGATCTCTGCTTCATATCTTCAAATTCTTATTTTTCTTATTTTTTTCTTTTATAAAAACTTATTCTATTATATCTATAATACATTGCTATTAATTTTAATATGCGAGTCTAATGTAATATGATATTTTTGAAATATGCATTCATATAACAATTCAAAAATGAGCATA